ATAATATATAAGAATAATAATAAATTAAACATTTTTATTTTCGATTATCTTTAGTTACACATTATTCTTGAATTATTAATTATGTAACACTTTAAGTTCATCCCTTATACTATATATGTATAATATATAAGGGATTACAAATACGGGTAGCTAATTGGATTTTTATGACATTGCTGTCGTCTCAGTCAGTCAGTATAGATAAACTTTCTGTATTGTCAGTTAGTGTATTTATAAACTCACAACAATGTGCCTTACTACCATTGATAATAACAATGCTGTGTACCTGCTAATATCGATGTCATAAAAAACCAATTAGCTACCTGTATTTGTAAAACCTTCTGTATTATACATGTATATTAACTCAAAAATTTTTACCCCTATTGTTTGAACACGTGCAGAAAAAAGTAATATTTATGTTTTAAATATTACGTTGTCTAAAAAAAAAGTACAAAATATTAAAATATTATATTCACTATTAAAAATTAATTTCCATTTTTCAGTAAATATGTTAAATAAATTGAAACATAATATTATATTATGATTACTCAGTAATATTAATTAAAACTCGTAATACGTGTAACAACTATTTTGTTGGTTGCATCCTTGCACCTCGTAATAAACCATCTTTTGAAAATTTACCTTAAGTTTTTTGTGAAAATTATTCATGAAATTATATGTTTATTATGTTAACAACTTTTCAAAACAGTGGCGTATTTAGGAGTAGACCGTGACCTAGGGTGTCATTTTTTCCAATTAAGAACTAAAATCTTATTAAATTTATTATTTATTTATATGTAACATAATTTATAAATTATATCAATTCATCTTAAAATGAATAAATAAAATAAAATATATGAGCCGTTCGCTGCAATAATGACCTAAGTGACAAATCATAGTTTTGAGAAAACAAGGTTTAAAGATTTAAAAGTGTATTATTTTAAGGAGAAGGACGAGAATTAGAAAACTAAGTTTTTCAAATGTAAGTAGCAGTATCATACAATGAAAATTCATGATCAAAGAACTAAAATTTTAATGTTTTAATTGTTAAATAACCGTTTAAATATTAAATCACTTAGGTCGTTTTTCAGGCGAACGACTAAAAGTTATTGATTTTTTCAAATAATCAGTCATAAAATTATATTAATTATAATTATTATTCACTTTTTATGAGGTATAAGGAACCAATGCTCTTTAACTAAGGCCCAATCTTCATCAGGTATTTTTTTTAGGATTCGGCTGTTTGCCACGATTTTCTGTAGCTTGGGAAACACTTTGTTTGCAAAACTTTAATACGGTCTTCATTCTGCCATCGCTGATTTGATATAAACTAATAAGGAACTCTTTACACACACTTATATCTTTTCCATGTAATTTTAAACTGTACTTCCACGAACACTCTCGGTTTTTTGTTACGGGAGCCAGTTTATGACGTTTAACTCCTTCACGATGTGCACAACTCATTAAATAAGTATCCTGTTTTTCTTTATCTGTGAAACATAAAAATGTCTAAAAAAAACTCTTTTTGGGAATCTCTATTAAAATTTGAAAAACATTGGGCCCGACAACAATGTTCTATCTTTCTAAACTGTTTGCGAGATACATCATTTCCAGCTATATTTTTATACGCTTTGCCGCTGTTACGTTTATCTTTTCTTTTGTTACGGGCCCATTTTCCACTTTTTAACTTTCTTTTTAACCCCGGATTGTCACTAGCCATGGAAGTTGAAGTTGTTGATGTTGATACATCCATAGCTGTTATTCTTCAAGTGGATAATATTAAACAATAGTTATTTATAAAAGCCTCTGTATACTAACGCACTATGCNTTTTTAGAATATGTGTAATTAAATTATTTGTATAGTTTTAGCGAATTACTTAAAATAAATTCACATCAAATAAATTAAATTAGCAAGTTATAAATGCATGTGTTAGTAATAAATTTTTGTTATTAAAAAGTAATATATTAATTAAAAATAAATATTAAAATATTAAAAATCAAGCTATATGAATTTAATTTTCAAAATATTTATTTATGTTATTACAATAAATTGCAAACAATCGTAAAACATAAATGTTCATCGAACAATACCTAGAAGGCCGTATACCTAATGGAACAATAGAATCCGTTTGACGTCCGTTCGTTGGACGTATTTCGAGGAACGTGACCGTTCAACGAACGTATACGTTTGACACGGCCCGCGTCGCTTCGTTATACACGATGCCCCGCGACTCGTGCCACCTTTATCAGCCGTCGCCCTACTATGAATATTTGACTGACCAACACCGCGTGTTATACGCTACGGTGCAAAGTCCAGCAAATGCCGCACGGCCGACGACGACCCGCCGCAAATGGTGCGAGAGTCTTCCTCCCGTTGTGAAAGCGACAACGTCGACAGCCGAACCGCACCCGCGCACCGTCGCCTACAACGCTGCTAACCATTTTGCCGTCCAAGGATTACGCCGGACATCGCGTCGTCGACGCCAGCGAAAGTGCCGCGATATTATGCGAAGATTATTATTACTGTGTTAATCTTTTCGGTTTGTTTTATTTTTGTTAAAATAATCTGTTGTCGCTCATTTAATAAACGGTCCATGGGTCTCTACCCTCAAAACCAGTGTCGACCACATTTTTGCGACGTAAGTCGTGTCACGTTCGACGAACGGACGATTCAAAAATAGACCCCCTGGTATGCTAATTTTCGTCCGTAGCGTTGTGTTTTTTTTATATTTCTATTTTTTTTTTATCGTGAGTGGCCGCTAAATTTATAATGTAATTTTTTTATTAGCTTCGGTTGAGCCTGCCTCCTATTCTTTAGTCTTTCGGTGCTAGTATTGTATATTTTTGTTTTTAATGTTTTGAGCCAGAATTTTTTTTTATTATTAGTGCGCCGTGCCATAAGTTTTAGCTTCAATGCGAATCTGAGAAGGTATTGATTTTACTAGGATGTGTTTTATTTTTTTTTTTTTGTGTCTGTTACCACTTTTTCTCAGCTCTCGCCGAACCTATCAAATCGTATCTAGTCGAAGACATTACCCTCAAAAATTGAAAAAAATTCCCTCGTTCCCCATAAATGGGGGAAACCTCAAAAAAATTACAAATTTAAAAATCGCTAATTTTTGGAATTTTTTCATTTTTTTTACTTAAAATTGCCATACATTTTTTAAAAATAACCAAATCAATATAATTTTATATAGATGCATGATATCATTACCTTACATTTGGTGTATTTTTTTTATAAATCTGACACTTAACCTGCCCACAGGGGGGGATTTAAAATGACAACTTTATCACAAAAAATTAACTTTTGAAAATGTTCCGGAAGGTCTGACACGGTTATATATATTATAAATTAAAGCTAATTTATTATACTTCATTATGGAAAAAAAAAATTTGACTTCTGGACTTGTCTTCATGGTGAAAATGGCTACCAAATGCTATTTTTGTGTGAAAAATCTCAATTTTATTTTTAAAATTTTTAACTTTATAATGCTATAACTTATTGAAAAGTGTATGGATCAACACAATTTTTTTATGAGAAATAATATTTTTTAATAATCCCTTTTTTATTCGACATACTTTATCTTAATTAGGATATTAATAAGAAAATAGCATATCATGGAGCTTTTGGAATAATCCACCAATTTTTTTAAAATTAAACATTATCTTAAGATTTGCATTGAAGCGTTTTTTTTTTATAGTGATTTTAATCACTGTCAGATATCATTATACTTGATCCAACTATGCCACGTCACCACTGTGCCACGAACCCCTGTGCTGGGTTTTTTTATATTAAATTTCTTGTAGGTGTCCCTATTTATTTTTTTTATATATTTTTTTTGGTCCCTCAACATGGAAGGCGTGTTACAATACCACCTGTCATGATATATATATTTTTTTGTGATTTTTTTATATATAGGTATTTAAGTACATTGGGCGATGCATGCATATATTATTAGTACAATGTGGTGACATATTGCATTTTATTCCGGGGTGTCCCAACGTCTTGCATGCTAAGTTTAACTGTTTACGGCAATGCCACGATTAATAGCCGGTGGATACCCGATCGTGTTTCTCAACGTATTCTCTAATAATAAAAGTGTAGGTGTAATTATTTTTTTTATTAATATCTGTTATTTTTTTCTTTCTCTCTGTTGCCCTTTAATTTGTAGACGAAGTTTTTTTACCGTTCGGTTTTTTGCCTCGTGTTAATTTAATTTTTTTTTGTTTTTTTGTTTTTTTACTTAATAAATACCCATTAATTTAACTTAACCATTATATTTTTCTTTTTTTGCGTGTTTCATCTTCAACAGACTCGTGTATTTTTTTTCTTTTCAAAAATCAACTCCCCAAACAGAAAAATCGTTATTTTTTAAGGGATTTTCACCAATTACGAGGAACGAGGGCAAAATTTTCGATTCTCGAGAAAAAGTCTTCGATTAGATACCGTTTGTGATCTCTTGACGTATTGTTGAGAAAAATCGTTTTTTTATGTGTCTTTTGCCACTTTTTCTCAACTTTTTTTCACTACTTTGTATTACAAAAAAAAAAAAAAAAAAACAAAAGAGAACAGACCAAAAGATTGACCAGTTAAGGTATACGTCGGAAACGGTACAGAACGCAATATCCGTAATCCATACTCGGCGGCGGCCTTATCTCGGTGTCAATGACGGGNAGTTGGATAGTGCTACAATACGTTAGATGTGAAGGTCGACATAAAAAAGAAACTTCGATCGGGTTATATTATTCGTGTCATACCTCAGACGTTAAATTCTATGGTATATCGAGATCGTTACAATAAAAATGATAAATTAAATTATTATCAAACAGGTTAATAGTAATTGATCTACATGATAACAATAACATTTATATTAACACGATTGAATAAACATGACATTATTATTATTAAAGATTGTTTTAAATTTTACTTAGGGTAAACTTAAAATAAACAAATACACGAATAAAAAAATGAAATATTACTTAATCAATTTTAACCGTCTGTATAATTAATCTCTGTACATGTACGTGTATAAAAAAATATAGTCGTTGTACAAAAAGTGTTTGTGTATCGATAAACAATTGGCTTGTAATTTAGTGAAAACCGAGATTTTCACAATCGTATAGCACGACGTTTTCGTAGAAACTGTTGAGTTTCATACATACGAGTTCCAATTGGTCACTGGGCGATAAATTATTTTTTGCTATGGCCAATTCTAACGTATCGGTTAATTCCGACGTCTTTTTTTCTATTATGCAATCTCTAGAATTGTACGATTCCATTGCGTGTAAGTAATCGACTAAAAGTTTGGAATGGATATACGAAATTTCATTAAGATATTTACTGGCCACGGCTCTATCGTTGGTGTCGTTTAAGTCAATGAAAATACTTTCGGAAGGGTACATTTTCGACAAGATTTTAATGAATTTAGAAAAATCCTCAATGAGTTTTTCGATAAGCAATTGTTTATTTCTTGTCGCATAATGATTGGTCGTTTTCCTTATGGTGATCAGCGCGGACAACAGCCGATCGAACATGTGAGAGGACCTGTTGATCGTATCGTACAGTCGAATCGTGCAATGAATAAACGAAGTCGTGTTGTTGCTTTCCTGTTCGTCTACACAAAGAGATAACAACGAGCCCAACTTTTCGTTGAAAGATTGGAGTATCTCGGTGTACCTGCAACGCAAGAGTTTCGACAGATATTTACGTTTGTTGCAATTGTCGTCCACGTTTACGAGTCTTAAGAAATCGCCAACGGTTATTAGTTGATTTGATTCTATAAGAGTTATGTGATTTAAATTGTTCCAACCGTTTTTATTCATAATCGCGTTTAAAATTGTAAGGTATTCTTCATCTTTGTCTGTGGGAGGCCAGAACCTAAAAACATCGAGACGATTAACTAAAATTATTATAATTATTACACAAGAAAATAATCGGTTTCAATCGCACAATAGTCTCGATTATTATGATAGAGTATTAACTATAAGACAGCTTTATGTCGTGTCAAAAGTTTTTTTTTCTACTATTGAATATAGTTCAATAATATTTGATTAACATAACATTTTTTTACATTTTATAAGTTATAAATTTAGGTTTTAAATAAAGATGACATTTGAAATTGTAAGTTTGTACAATTTTGAAACTAATTTTTTTGTGTAAAATGTATTGGAACCTGGACTCATCGGGGTGAGTCAGGGTGGGCAGTCGCACCCCTTACTTTTAAAACAGTCCCAATTAATCTGCATAATTATAATTAATTGCATTAATAATGCACCAATATTTTATACATCAATTCAATATTAAAAATATTGTATTGTCATGGTTTAATAAACAAATGTTCTGGTAGCAATTAATTGAGTAAACAATAAACCTATCATATTTCCTGTGGATAGGAGATAAGAATACTACTACGGGCCCTCTGCCAGTCGTAAGAGGCGACTAATAAGGTTGCGTCAGTTCTTGTAGTGTCAACGATGTAGGGACATCACCACTTGATGTGAAAAAAGGTGGAAAGAGTATTTTGAAAAATTATTGAATGTGGAGTAATAAAAAGAGACATAAGAGGATATCTCGTAGTATAAGGGATTGGTAGATTTAATTAGTGAGAAAGAGGTATGGGAGGCTGTGGCATCAATGAAAAAGAATGAAGCAGTAGGACTAGATAATGTGCCAGCAGAAGTATAGAAAATATTAGGCAGTGTTGGCATAAGGTGGTTGAAGGAACTTTTAAATAAAATCTAATAGAATAAGAAATGAGACATCAGTATCTAAAAACTAGTTTGGATTTATAGAGTACTGAGAGTGGTCAATAATGAGAAAAAGAGTCCCGAAAAGGTTCATTAATATAATAGAAGATATGTATAATGTTATGGATACGTTATTGATAAATGAAAAAATATAGACGCTAAAGGCAGTTGATGGTTAAAAAAAAGTCGAATGGCTAGGTTCAAACAAATCACGTTTTCCTTTTTATTTGTTTAATGTTGAAAACGAGAACAAATTAATAAAACATACCTAATATGTACACGAGTCAATGCCATTGTACGTAGGCGGACATATAGTAGAATATTCGTGGAGCCCTAATATATTCTAGGCCTCCGCCATTAATTAGCAATGCTCTCGTGACTCACAGGACCGTCGCTACGATTTATATTTCCATCTGTTGGCTGGGTTTTCTTAATTAGATCATTTTATATTTTACCCGTGAGGTAATCAACATTTGTTAAAAAATGAAAAAATACGTTAAAATAAATTAACGTTAGGATTAATTCTTAATTAAGAATTAACATACTCCCAGTGTACATCGAAGAATTTTTTCGTAATCATATCGTTTTTTCTCTTTACCTTATAGGAGAGAGTTGTTCGCGGCAACCATAAAGATTATTTTGAATCTCTGCATACACTAACATATCACTCAATATGTTTAGACCAACCATTAAATACATATAATTAACATCACACCTCTGCTTGGTTTAGGCAATGCTTAGAAACACAAATTACGCACGGGTCGACGTACATTCCGGCGAGAGTGACTTCTACTGTCCCCTTAACACACCTCGGATGTATTATACGATTTTCAATTTTTAAAAACTCCTCATTATGCGGTTTATTTATTTTGAAATAATTTCATAAAGAGTGCGTAAAAGAGTCGCTGTTTTTTAAGCCCACCGAAATCATCTCGCCGTGAGCTACAAATCGCCCAACCCTCCCCTACCCCGTTATTCATTGAAAATTTATATCATTAATTATTACGCTGAACCTTACGTGGAGTTGTCGGTATCCAACAGTTCCGCAAAGCCGATGTCTTGGTAATCGTTTTTTATCGTATGACCGTAGAAATTCATCATTAAACGTCCGATAGCGTTGAGGTTGGCGGACTCGTCGATTTCATTCGGAGCTTCTCCTCGTTCGTGGGGCGTTTGCAAATATAGCGGAACGCGATTTCGATTCACGTCTGAAGACGAACAATGATTGTTGACGAGTGTGTGCAAGTCGCCGGTCTTTCCGATATCGTCAAAGAAGCTTTTGATGTTTTCGAACTCGCGAAAAATATCTTCGTCGCTAGCCACTGATAATTCAAACGGACTCCGATTCGTTTTGTAATTGGCGAATTCGTAAAACGGTCGAATCCGGTCCATTATCGTCAACGGAGATTCCATATTGACGTTAATGTTCTTCAAATTTATTTGGCTCATATACCGCAAGGCATCGAACAGTTTGCCGAACATGTCGGCTGACATTGTCACCGAACCATAAAGTAAAACGGTACAATTATTGAAATGTTTCGAGTTTGCCTTTTCCAAATAAAAGCCGCACTTGTCTATGATGCTTTTAATCATCTCGTTGAAGTACCACAGTATTTCGGCGTACCTGCAGTTAAGCGAAAAAATGATCAAGTGCAGTAGTTGTTGGTAATTCATACGCAACACTCTAATGTCTACAACCGCTTGGCGTGAAAAATGTTCGTATAGAATTCCCCTTTTCTCCATTACGTGTGGCATCGATTTCCATCCTTGTTGATTAAAAAGATGACTTAACACGCCGACGATGTAATTTTTGTATTCGGTGGCATTAATTCTGCAATTTACAAAATAGTGACTGTTTAAAATCACAAGTGAAAACAAGACGTGGTAAAAGTACTTCATGTTCGTCGTGTATTAGAACTGAAAAATACAAAACGGATAATTTATTTTAATTTCACAAAAAATATGTACCACATTAATTATTTAAACTGAATTTAAAAAAAATAATTTTCTAAATCTATACTAACGTCAATAGTTTCAATACTCAAATGTGTTTGGATAAAACTATATTTACATATTAACGTCGCGTTGTATTTATTATCAATACACTATTTTTAGACGTGACCTTTAAAAAACTTGTATTAATCGCTATTAAACTCTTAATTTTATGTTTCACCATACAATGAAATAATCGAATCTCCATTAGTAAAACGGCTAATCGTATTATTAGCATATTAGCGTATTTTAAATTATTTAATGTTTTAATTTGCCCGAACCTGGTAGAGGATAACTTAGCTATATCGAAGAGGTCGTTACGGTGCGCTCTTTCAGCCTGACCATTAGCTTTAAGAATACATGTAGCTCTATATATATATACAGGGTGATTGACTAACTATGCCTCACGAATTATCTCTGAAAATATAAGAGTTATAAACAATTTTTTTTTTTTAATCATTATGGATCTTTGATGAGCTGTTTCACGAGAAAATTTAAATTTTTACCATCATCCCTTTTGCTTAAAAATAGTGTCAACTTCATATTTTTAAACGGAAACACTATTTTTTTTTATACCATTAGATTTAGTTTAATAAAAAAAAAATGATTTGTAAAAAAAATATTTTATTTTATTAAATATTAAGCGCTCCACGGCTCTCTAAAGTTTAGGGTTTATTAAGAAAAAATCATTACCGATAGAACGTTATGGATCGTAAATCGATAAGCGCTACCACTTCTTATCGGTACACTAAATAATAACGATACTATATTTACCCGACTACTGTTTTATTTGTTAAATCCCCTAAACTTTAAATAGTAATATCTCGCTTAGAATTTATTAAAATTGATTTTTTTTTTTTTGAGAAAATTTTTTTTTTTATTATTATTAACAAGATTAATAAAAAAAAAAACTGGGTTGCTATTTGAAAAACTAAAGTTGATATTGATTTAAGGGTTGAGGGATGAAGATTGAATCTTCATTTTTCTTGTCAAGTAGCTCAACAAAGATTTATAACAAATAAAATAATTACATATACGATAATACTAATATTTTTAAAGAAAATTCGTGAGGCATAGTTAGTCAATCACCCTGTATATATATAAGTAGGGTAATATAGAGAGAGCTTTTTTTTTATAGAATCAATAGTGCGCCTGCAATACTTAAGAAAACGAATAAAACTGATTTCAATGATTGAAATAAATATGTTTTTTTTTAATTTCTAGGCCTAAATATTATGGATTTGGACTTTTTTATAATAATATTTTTTATAGAAAACATATAGTTCTAATTTTCAACCCTCTTGCGGCACGTGTTAATGTCACTCAATTTCAACCAAATTTTGTACAACTTATTTTTTTACCTAACAGAACAATTCCAGGGGTGTCCCGAATGAATTTCGACAAAAAAAAATTGACCTATATGACTAAGAACCACCCTAATATATAGTCCTCTTCATCTATATATATATAAGTAGGGTAATATAGAGAGAGCTGGTCCCCCCCCGCCTCACCCACTCACCTTCCTTGCGGTGGAGGAAGTGTACCGAGGGATTAAACCCAACGTAAACTAACCTAATGCAATGGGAACGATGAAACCTTACGTAAACTAACCTAATGGAATGGGAGGGGGAAACCTTACGTAAACTAACCTAATGCGGGGGAGGGAGAGGATGAAACCCAATGTTTTCTAAGAATTTTATCTTCGACCAGCAGACGCTTAGATAAGCATATTTCTCACATTGAATGTACAAATAATTTCTAAGAATTTTACCATCGACTACCAGACGCTTAGATAAGCATATTTCCAACATCAAAGGTAACATTATATTATATAGCTCATAATAGTCTGTAATTTGATATGAGATAAATTGCGGCGCTGTCTGTGTATTATTAAATGTATAGCTATAATTTCTAAGAATTTTATCATCGGCTACCAGACGCTTAGGTAAGCATATTTCTAACATCGAATGTACAAATGATTTCTAAGAATNGGTCAGACTCGCTGAAATTGTAGGTAACCGACCGATCAAGTATAATCTAAAATTGGAGGCCTCATACCATATACCACGATCGGAAGCACCAAACGAGGACCGTGCCTTCAAAACACGGGCTAGGGCATTGCTATCCGATACAGATATCGGATGTGCGGTCGATGAAGATTTCGAGGTTATGCTCGCCGAGGAAGACGTGTACTCTGGGAGGGGTAGCGGCTTTACTTTATCGCATATCGACGGTCTTATGCTCAGCGTATACAAGTATACGCCCCTCGCCGGCTCATCATATATTCCGATTCCGCCCGAAATTAATAATAGAAAAGCAATCATCAACCCACAGAATATCGATCAGTCTTGTTTCAAGTGGTCTATTTTGGCGAGGCACGTTGGGGTTAATAATAATACACGCGTTAATCAAAAATATTTTAATGAGGAACACAGGTATGATTTCACGGGGTTGACGTTCCCCACACCTGTGTCCCAAATTAAAATATTCGAGCGACGAAACCCTAACGTGTCTGTCAACGTGTACGGCTTGGAACGAGACGACGTAAAGATGAAGTGGTTGGTGTATCCATTAAGAGTTGCCGACCAAGAACAACAGAATCATTTTGACCTGTTGTATATTGGCGACTCTGAAAAATCACATTACGCGTACATTTCAGATTTTTCTAAGCTTGTTCGTAAACAAAAAACCAGACACCAAGGTCGCATATACACTTGCAAACGTTGCTTCACCTGCTTTGATGATCAGCCTAAAAAGCATATTCTTCGGGGTCAACAAGCGTTGGAGCAACACAAGTTGATATGCGGCAAAAATAAACCAATTTTACCTGTTATGCCGGCAGAGGGCAGTAAGGTCGAATTTGAAGCGTGGGTAAAGACGCAACGGTTACCGTTCGTCATCTACGCCGATTTTGAGGCCTTACTGGAGAAAACAGACGATCGTACGGGAGCATACACCAGGACTGTGCACACCCACCATCCCATGAGCTATGGGTTCATGGTGAAAACATCGGACAATGTACCCTCCGAGCTCCTCGAACGCTACAGTATACCACAATCACCGGTGATATACCGTGGCTCCGAGGATCGTGAAGAGGTCGCTAAGGCATTCGTGATGGCTGTAACTG